AGCCTGGCCCTAGCGCTGAGAAACAACGCCAACGAGGTGCTCGACATGCCAGTAGATCCGAATGAGCCTATCTATTGCTTTTGTCATCAAGTTTCCTTCGGAGAGATGGTCGCCTGCGATAATCCTTCAGTAAGCCATTTCTATCGTCGTTCTAATTTTCCCAATGATAATGCATTCTTTTAACGAATATCCCTCAATATTACTTGCCACACTCCAAACACGCCACCTCACCTTCGCAAGTCACATTTGTGCAACGCCTACTACCCAATTTGTAATGGATTGATCTATATCTGCACTGATCTGTATATAAGATCTATACCTTGCCCTCACAATTAAGCAATTTCCTACACAAATAGTGTAAAGTTTATCTCTAGTTCAGATAATGGTAATCAACGCTCTAATTCTGGACTTTATAGTTTCTATACTGTTATTATTTCGATGTCATCAAATGCGTGTATTATGTATGACAATATTTTTTAATCATGATTTATAATGTAATCACCGAGATCTTTTGGCTAAAGTTCGCTTCTTTAACTGGCTTCTGAGACGTAAGTAGTGGCCACCAGGCTTAATGTAAATGGATTAGACAATGGGACTTAGACAAAACTCGTCGAGTTTTGCTAATGTCTTATATATTTCATGAGTCTAGATATACAATTTCGTTCATTCCATTAATCTATTTCTATTTTTTCAGTGCCCCTATGAGTGGTTCCACTTTGGCTGTGTTGGGCTCAAGGAAGATCCTGTAGGCCAGTGGTTCTGCCCTAGTTGTAGCGAACTCCAGGGATTAGCGTGATATTGACGAGCCATTCCGAGTGTAAAAACCATGGAGGCCTCTTTGCCGCCAGTTTCAGTATGGATCCGCCAATCGTTTCGGATCCCGATCGACGCTCTGAGCTGTGGGCTACTTTGAGACAAGATACCTCATAGCTATGAACTGTGATTTCATATGTAGCCAAAATGTGATATTTTCTTTATTGTAAGCAAACATCAAAATAATTGTGTAATAAAACGGGCTTCGGCTCTTCTATTTTGTGAATGAATCATATTGATGGATATTCGATGTGTACAGTTTTACATACATCGAGTATTTTCGAAATACGTCGGTTAGACATCTTAAGATTAAATAAAGAGTAAGAAATGAGTAAATAAGTTCTTGTGCTAGGCAAGAGTATGGATGAGGAGAGATCACACGTTTGATTTCAAGTCCGGTCCTCCTTGAAAGTTGTCGGATTGAGCATCAATAACGGAGTCAGAGTGCCAGATTCTTTAGATTTGACCTGAGACAAATAACAAAATAAGGCGTGGGATTACATTAAGCACACTTGCCAGTTATTTCTCCGACTAACTCAGTACTTATTTATGGAAAGGAAACAAGAGTTAAGGCTTTATTTCCAACCTAATCGCTAACGTATACCCATTCAAGGTTAAGGATATAATAAAATTTTACTAAGTTTTCCCTCACAACTACGCAGAAAGTTAGGCGTGAAGGCTAAAAAATAAGTTTACAACCCTGTATTCCATGCACACTTAAAGCTAAAGCCATATTTACCTAGGCAGTATTATAGACTTTTCTTATCTAATTCACGGGTCGCCATAATTTATTGTCTAAGCAGCTTTAATACAAAATTAAAGTAAGCATTATGAAGCATGACCTTATAAAAAAAA